TGATCGTTGTAATTTCCGTATTTCATACGCCGTATATAAATTCGGCCAGTCGACTTCGTCCGTTCACTTCAGGACCGACAGCGCATTATTAACGCAGATGGTCTGATACTTGAAATGGTCAACCTATTGTTGCACTATTCACTAGCATTTTTCGGTTGTCGGTGAAAACTACCACTACTAACCTTTACCGTCTTTGAATTTTATCTCTGCTGTCAAATCCGTGTTTACACACACTTTCGCACTTTCGATTAATGTGGGTAGACCATTTCTGGAGTCCTTCATCGGCACGATGCCATTCGCATTCTCAAGGTCCTTCGATAATACTGCCCATACCTTGAGCCGCGTTTGTGACTGACGATAAGTTTTCGTTTTTTTGGATGATGCTCTTCTGTATCATGTTGAATAGCTAAAGAGATATCACTTCGCCTTGACGAACTACATTGGTAATGTCGAATCAGCTCGACAGTGATCATTAGGTTCTGACGGCGCATATTTTGCCTCCATACGGCCCATCAGCCAGGTTTGCTATAGTTTGTAGAATTTGGTAGTGACAACCGAACTGTATGGTGATGAACGGAATAGAAAGTCGAGAAGAGTCATGAGCCAGGGCAATTGGTAGAACTTATCCTCATCTCGAAAACCTGTCAATACGAAGCAATATCCACACCGAAATGCCGCTTAAGTGTTTTACAGCCACTGATAGATGGTCGGTTTCATTCTTCACGATTATATCTACGCATTATTTTAGAGCAGTGGTAACGCTGATAGTATTTTACAGCCCACTGTATCATAACTTTCTGAATCTGAACATTTACCGTGGCGCTGGTTTGCATCTGAATGGATAGGAAAGTCACTTCTTACGACGCGCCGTATCGCCTGACACTCTACCAACTCTTCACGTGAGAAGCTTCATTTCGATTAAGAGTTATTTCACAATAGAATTTCATAATCTGTTCGAACAGAGCACAATGATCGATAGATAAATAACCACTACTTGATGCATCTGATATAAAAAGTTGTGGCAGACTTCATGCTTGAATTCCGAACCGTGTAGCCGAACTGCGATAAACCGTGACAGGCGGCACCGAACTGACCTTGCTTATTCACTGCAATAACTCCGCCTTGGAATGAGCGAAACTTGTTAGCCAACCGTATGACTGCGCTTTCCGCAGCCACCTTGGGTGACATTCCATTCCGCATGTTTTCCACTGCCTGATAGCTAAACAGCAAAAAAAATCGGCTCGATACTAAGACCTTCAGATGCCATCAAGACTCACAGAATATAAGGGCGTAGATAAACCAATAACTTTGGAAACGAATTAATTAATGAACAAATGTTATTTATGAAATTAAAGATTTCTACCTCGGAAGTAGGCGCATCATTAAATCACCGTCTCCAGTTGCGCAAGCAGCTCCAATATCGTTGTCGGCAAAGCCACCAGCTCCGGGTATGGGAGAGTCTCCAACTCTGCTAAAACTTCATTTGAAATAAACAGATATTACGAATAGTAGCAGCACGATGCGTAATGATAATTTCAGACGGATGCCAACATGATGAAGAAAGGCTCCTTATACTTCTGAAGCTAAATTTTCTTTAAAAATGCAGTTTCGCGTAGCCCTGTGTAAGACGAAATAACTATATTACAAGAATGAAAAAAGATGCGCAACTCTATGTCGCGTTGCTGCGATAACGGCAAATCTCTAATCAAATGTAAAACGGTCGGAACGAGGCAGTGGTTGTTGACGATCGACAGACCGGACCACATTCATACGAGTAAATGACCGGTCCTTCATGTCTCTGTTTGCAAATCGTATAAATTGTTATGACGTTTACATTCGCTGCTGTTTTAAGGTTGAATCGCTTCTTTTCGAAGAGACAAGTAGGAATCATAAGATAGGGGGATAATCGAGAAAAATAAAAGTAATTCAAGAAATAATCAACAAGCATTTCAGTAATTTCGAGTAAGGGCATGAATACTTGCAACCGCATAAACCTTTCAGTGTCTGGTATCAGTCTGTCTCTAAGGTCGATTATATCCGTTTGACCTATACAGTAGGGATGTTTCGTTCAAAGTTTATGGGAAAACACGTTTTTGAAATTCTATAATTCTTTTGAAAACACGTTTGCCTCAAGTTCAGTATCCATATACGCTTGAAAAGGCTACTGTTCATTCAGCTACTGTTTCATAGACAGTTCATCTAAACCGGACTATATATGAATCTATAGCATCGTCCATTTGTTCCTACATTTTAAGGTGGCGATATGAGCAAGACGCAGCTCCATGAATTTTTAGCAAGTACGGGCAGTGCACATGATCATCTTGTTTAGTTGCTATCGGTTAGAATAATGTAATGTTTGACAGCAACTACGCCTCAGGAGTCAGTACTCTTTATACGTTTTGTGGTCTGGAGTTGTAAACGTTAATCATATATAAATGTCTTTAAAAGTTTACCAGAAAAATAAATACAGTGAATACAGCTAATTAACTAGCGACTGCAGTTATTTGCTCTCAAAGATAATGATCAGTTACCTGAATTGTTTTGGAAACGAGCAAAGTATTCAGTAGCACTGTGACACGAAACGTACGTGTTCATTACTAAGTATATGCTGAATTATCCGTAAGAAATATGACAATTATATTTTATCGCGGGCTCGTATTTATTATCTGCTAATTGTATATCTTATTCATGAAAAGGCGTTTTTAGCGGCTAATATTCCGTACGATCTCGTCTCCAAAGTTGCTGGAGTCAATATCCTAGTGTCTGTTTAGAGTCATTAACAGTTTACTTCCATAAAAATTTTATTAAATTTTTGCCGATATTCCCAGTCATATTTGCTTCGTTGTCAGGGAATCACAAATACCTTCATAAAAGCTCAAGTATAACTAAATTCTGGTATGGAACTTAGTAAAATTTATGCAGTGTTGTACTGTAGATATTATGAATACTAACAGTGCATTCTACCGCGTAACAGATTCACATTTGGGATTCAACGTTATAACTGACTTTACATGCAACAAACTCAAGAACCTACAATTCTGAACACTGCGCTGAAGGCGAGCGGCAAAACTTTTGTTTAAGCCTTACAATCAGTATACATGCCAGCGATGTTAAACATACATCGCAAACGTTACCCGGGAATTTTATATCTGGCACCGTTAGTGGAAGTTGCCACACTGATGGCGTTCGAATGAAG